TTGAGACTTACCTTGATTTACCTTGAAGAAATTATTAGAATGTAAATGTGTACGTTGAAATGCAATGTAAGTCGCTTTGGATAAAAGTGTCTGCCAAATGCATAAATATATAAATATACCTATAAGATGCTTCTTCACATAATTCAGAGCTTCTTCCCCACTCTTTTCTTTCTTAACTCTGTTCTTTACCAGTGTTATTTTAGTATTTAGCCATAATGTTCCTATTTTAAGCCACACCGGGTGAATAACTGTGAAGTATCAATATACTGATACATTACTGTGATTTGGATCTAGATAGAACCTGCGGGCTGAGCATTTGCTCTAGAATTGATCTGTGATTGTGAATCTGATGTCAGTCAGTCACATGCTTGTCTAGGCGTCTGTGTCGTAGGCTGTCAATGAATTGATTACATAATTACTAACAAAATGAAGTACAATGTAGGGGCTTTAAAACTGCTGCTTTAGTGCAACGATTATTCTTAAGAACTAGAGACCACATTAAGCACAATAGCGGAATAGTGTTAACAAGGTGTGAGAGGCTAGGTAATTTATAGGCTTAACAGGCTAGACAAAAACTGTGTGTTTTGAAAGTAAAGTGTGTCATTTCTGTTCAAAAGCTGTAAATGCAAAAATAATGACTGTCCTGTGGATGTTTTGTGGGCACGTGCCCAATTACCCATATGGTTAATCTGGCCCACAGCCTAACTTTGCCTAATTTGATAATAAAAAAGCAGTACCGCTTCTTCACCATTAATAGAGGGCAATGAGGGCATCTACATTTTGACACTTCTGGAAGGGAATTAAAACGAATCATTCTTTGGCTCAGGCATTTCAGAATGATCAAACCAACATTTGAGATGCTGTGCGATGAGAAACGTCTGCTGGTTAGTCCAGTTATCCAATCACATCCACTGTTCAGGCAAAGTCACGTCCGCATCGAGGGATTTATTCAAAATAAACAATACAGCTTCTTCACCATTAATAGAGGGCAATGAAAGCATCCACATACTAGCATAATCGTCAGATTATATCCTTTTAGCATTTAAACCTCATTAAATTTCACCCAAATATGAAAATTATATTATTTACTCATCCTTATGTCTTTCCAAACTATGACTTTCTTTCTTCTGTTGAACATGCTTGTCTAAGCGGCTCTTTTTCTTACAATGAAAGTGAATGGTGACCACAAAGCTGGATTTTCCAACGCTATCTCACAACCAATTCGTACGAATTTGTACGAGTGATTAAAAGGTGGCTAATTCGTACTAATTCATACGACCTCACTCGTACGATTTGTCTAAACCCACGTGATGGGTAGGTTTAGGGGCGGGGTCAGGGGTAGGTCATTCGTACGAATTCATACGAATTTGGTAACTCGTAAAATATGTACGAATTAGCAAAAAACGTACAAATTTGTACGAGTGAGGTCGTATGAATTCGTACGAATTGCCGTGAGATCGGGCTGGATTTTCAGTAATAACGACTTAAATTTCAGTCTGTTTCTCACACACAGTTTTCTGTGAATGCAGAGGACTTGGAATATAGTGCACACGTCATAACTAGTTTTAATGCATTTACGCCGCTTTTTGGAGCTTGATATTCATTGTTTAATTATTAAGGAAGAGGGCAACTCGGACATTCCTCTAAATCTTTCACTTTGTGCTCCAACTAAGAGTTTGGAACGACATGATGGTGAGTAAATGATATCAAGATTTTCGATCATGGGTGAAGTAATCCTTTAAAAGGCCGTAAACTGTTTGGCAATGTAATGCCACGGATTGAGTTATTTGTGAGAAGTCTTGTTGGGTTTCAGGGGAAAAATATGATTTCAGCATTTTGCCATGACAGATGATGGATTATATCATCTTAACCTTTAACCTTTTGTAGATTTCCAAGTCTTGCACACTCTGCAACACTCCAGCTGGGTCTGCTGTGAATAAACTGAATGCAATATTGAAAGAGGATCCAAGGGAAGATGAGTAATAAAGAATGTTTAAAACACAGGAGGTTTTGTGCGCTCGTGAGCAGGGGCTGGGCAACACTGATTTTTATTGTCATGGTTAAGGTCAAGGTTTCCATAGCAACAGGCACCATTGAGGTTGCAGTGATAATGGTATGAATAATTTATCACATGGAAGGATTATGACTGAGTTCCAAAACACCTCATGGTGTGTGACTGTATGTGCACCTGTTTGTACGTATGCAAAATGTATGCTTAACTTCTTCCTTTATCGTGATACCATCACCACCGTTACTAGAAAGTCATTGCATGGCAACTTCAGGTGAGGAGTTGCCATGGTATTTCTGTCACATTCTCTAATTAGCATCACAGTGACATTGAGTCGTCATGGAAATGCTCATTTGCGTTTTTCTCATTCCGTTCCGTTGTGTTTCTGAAGGTGTCTGGGAAAATTAGATGCTTAATTAGTTGTACATTAAATGTGCAATAATTACGTATTTATTAATTTAGAGATAAAGTCGAATAGGGAAATTAATTAACTAATTTATCATCACCACCACTGTATAAGCATAATTGATTAGGCTGTGATCAGCGAGTATGAATAATAATGTCATTCATACATAATTAATAGCTTCTTTAGCATGTTTAGTAGAATAAGACTGCTATTAAGGTCAAACGAGCAGCACACGCACATACAGGTTGTTTATTTCACTATTTAGTGATATTTTTTTATGCATTTCAAATTTCTCTCGCTTTCTGTCTGTCTCTACACTCCCATCCCTGTCTCACCCTCTGAGAAGGCTGCCATCTGGACCACTTTCATTTAGAGCACACACACACACACACATACATCTGGAGATTAATGTATCAAGCCATAGACATTTGATGGAAATATCACCCAGAATTTAATGCATGATTTTGATTAGGATTGTCAGTGTTTTGCTGTAATATGTCATTGTGTGAATGGGTGGGTAATAACCAGCTGTGATTAAACAGTTTTGTTTGAGTTTAATGAATGGAAACTCTACCTGCTGGCTTTGGCTAAGAGGAATCCCCTCTGTGACAGATCTACTTTGACCTTTGACCTTAGTCCTCAATATAAACATGGTGGGAAAGTATTTTATAACTGCTAACTAGAATCCTGCTTCAACGCTGTCACAAACGGTTGCACAAACGCGAGGAAAGGATCTATTTGCAGCAGTGTCAATATATCCCAGTTTCACAGACAAGGCTTAAGCCTAGTTCCAGACTTAAATGCATGTCTGTGAAACCAGGCCTATATGTATTGAACAAAACTCAAAATCCCCATCGGGAACAGAACAACCGTAATACCATGACGAGAACTAACAAAAAACAGAAAGAAAACCAAGGCTTAAATATACAGAACAAACCAATCAACGAAATGAGCAACAGGAGTAACTGATAATCAAACAATGAATAACCAAGGTAACCAACTGAAAACACAGGAAACAGAACTAATCGCATGCAAAACCCACCCAAACAGGCACCAAACCCAGATAGTCTCTTATGCCTTGTATGCATTGTACGATTTTGGGCTGTCCCAGATGAAAGATGACCAATCGTGGCGATTTATGTGGTCGTGGATCCTTAAGGTGGTCCTACGTCGTACAGTGAGAGAGGTTCAAAGACGGTCGTTGTCACGGTCTTGAGACCAAAGATAGCCTGCAATCATTTTTTAATTATATTAAAAATATAATTTCATTTTAATAACACAGAAATTAAGCATGATGATCTCACATTGTGTTTGCTGCTACGACCTACGTCTACTAACTAGCCAATACAAATGCAACATAAAATGGATGTTGGATGTAATGGATGTAGCTGGATGGCTCCTTGCATGGCTGACACCGCCGTCGTTGTATGAATGACTGAGTGAATGGGTGAATGTGAGGCAAAATGTAAAGCGCTTTGGTGGCCATTGGGTCTGTGAAAGCGCTATATAAATGCAGTCCATTTACCATTTACCCAAATGGCGTATTGATCAGTGCGTCATGGCGCTAAAACGTAAAACTATTACCTCAAGCTCCATTTGCAAAATTGGCATGCCAATTTGGCCTCTTTTCCCTAGCCATGACCGGGTTCATATTCTCCTCTTTCACTTCCTCCTCCTCTTTTCAGCGCACATTAAAAACCACAATTGCCAAATTGCGATTCATCTGGCTCTATTTGTTTACCACGAGCGTATGCTGATGATGTTTTATTCTTCTATACTAATGCTGCGTTCCAGACAGCTCGGACGTCTGATTGCTCACCGGGGTCTGAAGTGAGACATTTAATTTGAGATATTCCCACATCCATTCTCGTCTGGGATGCAGCATAACTTGTGTCGTAGCCTACGATTCAATAGGTGTCCTTATCGTACAGTCTACATTCATGTCCTACCCAAGTTTATTAGATCCATGTAGTACAGTACGATTTGTAATGATCTTATAGGATTGCTGTAATCGCAGGCATTACTAAAGCATGTATGACATCATAGGAATGATTAAGAAAAATACATTTTAAATGGGAATATATTCACATTATTTAGTGTGCAATTTTATGTGTGATTTTTGTAATGTTTTAGCATGAAATAACCATTAACATTTCATTATATGTATATTTCCAGGAACATTAAAAATTATCAAATTTTGAAATGTAAACTATGTATTTAGAAGTACTAACATTTTATTTTAGATGACAAGGTGGAATTAAACCTTGTCACTACCTTGTGGAATTAACACCTCATTAAAAAAATAAAATTATACTATACAATTATTGTTTTAAAATGATTTTTTTTAATGTATTATAAGTAAACACAAAGCATGTCTATTATGATTGACTATATTTTCATGCCATATTTTCATGTAACCATCGCATGCATTATGTTTATGTCTGACCAAGAATGTTTTTTGTTAGTTTAACAAATGTGTCCGTTTGGCCAAATTAATGGAACATCTCCCTTGACAATTATAAACTGCATTAATTCTTTATCATTATTGTTTGTTCAGAGTTCAAAATATTCTGTTTTCTCCTGCAGAGCTCCTGGGTGCTGCTAAGAAGGTGAATGTGAACTTCCAGGACACAGACGGGTGAGTTTCATCTATACTACAGTGACATCACATGATGTCCATCAATTACTGTTTTTCTGAATTGCTAAAACACTAAACCCCATTCTCTGAACCAAATTCTCAATAGCCTAAACCAATTCGTCGAATAAATCACTCTTTCTGTAAAACATTAAACAAGGTCAGGTAGTTAAAACACTGTTTGCAAATCTCATTTTTTCAAAACTCTAAACACATTCTCACTCACTAAAACACATTTCGCACTGTGATGGACTTATGTTTCAAAATGCTAAACATAGGTAGGCGAAATGACAGAGATGACATTGTCTGAGATGTGGAGAAACTCCTCCGGCCGGACCAACATGAAGACGTGATGCTGAAGCAGAATCAATCTCTCTCACTGACCGCGATTCTGCTGTTGCACAACTCTTCTGTGTACTTTACTGTAACATGCTTTTCATTGAGAGTTTTTTACTCTAACCTTTTTGGCTTTTGCAGTTGGGTCACTGCATTTTCACAGTATGCAAGTGCTGAATATACAGGCATTCGATAGGCCTACTATTCAATATTCAGTACAATACTATACTTGCAGTGGATACAGTCATTTATTCACCTTACTACTGTAAGTTGTCATTACTATGCTTCTTCACGTATTTGCAAAATTTGTTTACAATATATTTCTGTAACTGCATGCTTTGGATTCTGTTTCTCCATTTTTTGATGGAGTGTCTAATGAATGATCTGTAGTGTTTATAATTTTGATTGGCTGTGTCTATGATCGGAGAGCATTGTTTGATTTTAAGCACAGATAAAATGGTTTTGAGGCAATTGTTTGATTTTGCCAGAAGAGTCAGAGGAAAATTTTGTGTTTAAGGTTTTGCGAAAGTGAGTGATGGTTTCAAGCAATGTGTTTTAGCAATTCAGAAAAACGATCTGATGATATGGGCTATTCAGTGGCCAGTGCCTATGTTAAAGGAAACAGCGTTTGCAACTTAATGTAACGTATTTCCAGGTGAAACATGGCAGTACGTTATTTTATTCAGCGGCACTTGATTGGATTTTGAAAATTGAATGTTATTCGAAATGGCCATTAGGTGGAGGGAGGGCTTGAAAACTACGAGTGATTGATGACATCAGTACCATGCAGTCTATTTCGAGTTCATGGTTAAGTTAGCTAGTGGACAGTGCAGATTACAGCTAAAGCAGAGGTGTGTTGTTATTAGAATGCTGCAGTGTGCTAGTAGTAGTAGAGAGAGAGAGAGAGAGAGTGTGTGTGTGTGTGTGTGTGTGTGTACACACGTGGTTTGAGGCTCTAGCAGAGAGAAATCTCTTACTCATGGAAGTAGGTCATAGCCTCCTGCTCAGGGACCGGAGTAAAGTGGCAGAGTTGAGCTGCAATGAAGTAAGATTAGGGACTCTCTAAAAAGTTATAGGCCTTAAAGTGCCCCATTATGCTCTTTTGGATAATAGTGTGTAATATAGCTGTTAGTGAATTTAAAAAGGTCTTCAAAGTTTCATTGAACAAAGTGCAAGATAAAAGCAGTTATTGTCTCCTAAAAGAAAGAACCAATTCTGAACTGCCTAAACGGTAATTCCAGTCTTACTGTACTTCCTGCTCGGACCTAGGTTTGAAGATATTTCAAAATTCAGATATGGTAATGAGTGATTGCTTTTTTTTACACACGCTGTAAGTGGCAGACCAATCATAACAGACTGGGCCATTTGACCAATCAGAGCAGAGTAGGCTCTCGGAAATAGGGGTTTAGAGAGACTGGATCAAACCATTTCAAACACTATGAGAAAAGAGGTGATGCTGCGAGGAATAGCTTTTATGAGAAAATTATCTATTTTTTTTAATTTTATTGGCAACCTGTAAAATAGCAAAATATGGGCACTTTAAAGCATTTGGATTGGAAATAATAAATGATATATTAGGATTGGGCATTATGAGGACATTTATTAGTCTGTTTTGAAGAAGATATCTTGACCATAGCAGGCCTAGACATACACACAGATTAACCTCAAGATTTTATGCAGAATAGTAATGCCTGTCATTGTTTCACAAGTTCTACACATCACCTGCCAGGCTGCCATGAGTTAGTTTTTCCTTATTTAATTGCATTTTGAGTGCAAGTGGTTAACTTAACTAACTTAAACTTACATTTTAAATACATGTTGAATACAGGTTTTTCAACATCAAATTTCGTTATTTTTGTCTATTCTAAATGGAATCAATAACAGTGCAGTAGAGATGATTACGGGGGCAATTTCTACAAATTTCAGGACACGCACAGTTCTGTCATAACTGAGATAAATGAAAGTCTTTGAGAGACATTCAATCAAAAACAGATTTTGAGAAGTCCAGTATTTTTTTCTTCTGCTGCCTGAACTGCTATTGTCTTTGAATCCATAGTAATATCTATCTAATCTCTAGTAGATTGCTGGTTGGAAGTTTACATGAATGACAGATTCTAAAAGATTTAGTACCAAAAAAAGGTGAAAAATATTCAGTAACATTAATTAATACATATAAAGCAATCATACTATGACTTTGACATCATAATGATTTACCAAAGCGTGACTTTTTTTTTCTTATGTGACAGAAATTGGCTTCCATATTATTTGAGATACAATGGGTTACTTTAATTTAAACCCAACCACTCTTATTGTAACAATAACACCTTTTATTAAATTTGAGTCATTTATTGGCTTAGTACTTTGTCCATATGAATGTTTCTTATACCAAAAGATCATTGTACCATATTGTACCATATTTAAATCGATTCCAAAGGTTTCCCTCCTAGAAACCTGTGCAGAATTTTTTTCTATATGTCACTAGTAATGGTTAATGCATATTGTGTTTGTGTGCTTTTGTTTTATAGGTTATCTGCCCTGCATCATGCTGCTCTTAATGGTAACGTGGAGCTGATTGCGCTGTTGCTCGAGTCACAAGCCGTCGTTGACATCAAAGACCAGAATGGTACAAACACACACAGTACCTTTTAACTGTCTCATATGTACAATATGTACATTATTTATCCAATATACAGATGAATCAGTTATTAAAATAAACTACCGTTCAAAATCGCTAAGAGTTTTAAATATTTTTTGAAAGGTCACCAAGGGTGTATTTATTTGATCAAAATAAAACTGTAAAATATTATTTCATTTAAAATATTTTTTTTTATTTTCTATCTACAAAAAACATACTGTCCCCTATGGAAGCTTGTTTCCACAAATGAATAAAAAATAAAAAAGGTAAAGGCGACTTTTTATCTCTCAATATCTCTCAGACTTTTTTTCTCTCAGAATTGCGAGATATAAACTCACAATTGCTAGTTTTAAAGTCAGAATTGTGGATAAACTCACAATTGTGTGTTATACAAATCATATCTCAAAATCAAAATCATCTGAATTTTGTTTCTCAGAATTGTGAGTTTAGATCTTGCATTTCTGACTTTTTTTCTCAGAATTGCGTGTTTATAGCTCGCAATTCTGAATAATACGCAATTGCGAGTTATAAAGTTGGTCAGTCTTTTTTTCTCAGAACTGTAACTCGCAATCGAAAAGAAGTCAGAATTGCGAGATGTAAACTCACAATTGTGAGATAAAAAGTCGTAATTGTCTTTTAAATTGTTTTATTCCGTGGAGGAAACAAGCTTCCATAGTCCCAAACTAGCTTTTGAATGCTAGTGAATATGTTTCTCGTTCAAACTACCTCCTGTTTTCTGAAGGGATGCGGCCCTTACATTACGCTGCTTGGCAGGGCAAGTGTGAGCCCATGAAAATGCTGCTCAAGGCAGGGTCATCAGTCAACAGCCAATCAGATGAGGGACAGATCCCTTTACACCTCTCATCACAACACGGCCATTATGAAGGAGTGAGTAAATGCACATTCACAGATCAGACTTGCATGCTTATGCACACATGCTTTACACACACTCACACACACACATACTCACTGTACTGCACTGTGTGTGTTTGCAGAGTGAGATGCTGCTCCAACATCAGTCGAACCCCTGCCTCAGAGACCACGCTGGGAAAACCCCTCTAGACTTGGCCTGCGAATTTGGACGTGTCTCGGTTAGTTGCGCAGTGTTTTGTGTGTGTCTCTCTGTGTGTACTCAGGGGTTTGTGATAGATGGATGAGAAGCGGTGCTCCCCGGTGGGAATGAGGGAACTACACCTCTTCTCACGTTCTCAGCCAAATGTACAGTAGGAAGCCCGACATGCGCTCACACCCCGGTTTCCACTGCTTGCAAATGAGCACAAGAGACTCTTTCATAACAGTTTATTCAGACTTGGGTTTTGTTAAAGGTACAGTTCACTCAAAATTCATATTCTGTCATTATTTACAAACAAACGCTGCTCCAAACCCGTATGACTTTTTTTCTTCCGTGGAACAAAAGGAGATTTTTTTTAATTGTACTGGATGCTATTTTCATCCAACTGGGAGTATGTATGTATGTATTATTTATTTAATCATTTCAAATCACCTTGTTCACTTATTTATATATTTATTTATGCATGAATGTCTTCGTTTGTATATTTGATTATTATCTCTATTTGTTCATTTAATCATTTAAAATCTCATCTTTCATGCGAAATAACCATAAATGTATTATGTCCATGTACACTTTACTTCAAATCTTATGAAGCCACATTAGCCATAGTTTTGTGTGAGAAACAGAGCAAAATGTAATCATTATACACTGATAATCTTCACCTGTTAACCATTGCAACTGGGTTATTCAGTTCATTGATATCCTTCAGTGAACTAAGGCCCTGTCCACACGGACACGGGTATTTTTATAACCGTGACTTTTTTTACGCGGTTCGGCCGTTCGTCCACACGAAAACGCACTGAAACCGAACATTTTTGAAAACCCCTGCCAGGGTGAGGATTTTCAGAAACGCCGGTTACAGTGTTGTCGTGTAGACACAGTGAAACCGGGGTTTTTGCCTTGCGACGTCAGAGTTTGCGCCGTTACCAGTGTTGCCAACTATTTTCAAAGGAAAGTAGCTAAGGCCTTCCCTAAAAGTCGCTAAATGTCGCTAGATGACGTCATACGTCAATTAGCATATTAATGACGTCATCGCGTCGTACTTGCGTTCTGTCAGCCTAGTGCGTTTTCTCTCTAAATTATTGCTCTATTTAACATAATATAGCCGAATGTCAAATAAAGCTGTTTTCATTTCCTTTTTTTTTTGTCAGACAATAGAACGAGTAGCTATAATATAGTGAATGATTACATTTTTTATTGGCCTATGTGGAACATTATCTGAATTGAGAGAGTTAGGGAACCGGATGAACTAAGCTCTGTGATAGTGAGTGTTACAAGTAATAAGCACAAGAAAATAAATAAAAATTAAAATGGTCAAACTAAATTCTTTAAATATAACAAAAGAAAAGCAGATAAGTGATAAGTCCATGGAAAAACACTGCTCATTCGCGTCTGTCAGCGGCCGTGCGCTCCTCTCAGCCATTCACTGAACAGGGGAGAAGCAGCGAGAGAGAGTGACGACAGGGAGAAAGCAAGACCTCGCGCTCGTATGGCAAGCCGTTTTAGCTTAAATTGTACCCAGCCTTACTTGTTGTAATTTCATTTTTACTAGTAAAAAATTTAATTAGAGAACTTTACAATTCAATTCGTACTAGTAGCAATTACAATTAGAGAGCTCTCTAATTCAATTCTTACTAGTAACAATTGCGATTAGAGAGCTCTCTAATTCGATTCTTACTAGTAAGAATGTAATTGCAGAGCTCTTTAATTGAATTAAAGAGCTCTGCAATTGCATTCTTACTAGTAACAATTAAATAAGAGAGCTCTCTAAATCAGTTTTTACTAGTAAGAATTACATTAGGAGAGCTCTTTAATGCAATTATTACTAGTAAAAACTGATTTAGAGAGCTCTCTAATTCAGTTCTTACTAGTAAGAATGCAATTGCAGAGCTCTTTAATTCAATTAGAGAGCTCTTTAATGCAATTCTTACTAGTAGGAATTCAATTAGAGAGCTCTACAATTCAATTCTTACTAGTAGCAATTACAATTAGAGAGCTCTCTAATTCAGTTATTACTAGTAACAATTACAATTGCAGAGCTCTCTAATTCAATTCTTACTAGTAACAATTCCAATTAGAGAGCTCTACAAATGAATTCTTACTAGTCATATGTCTCCATTGACTTCCATTCATTTTTAATTACAGAGCTCTTTAATTGAATTGTTACTAGTAAGAATTACAATTAGAGAGCTCTACAATTGAATTGTTACTAGTAAGAATTACCATTAGAGAGCTCTCTAATTCAATTGTTACTAGTAACAATTACAATTAGAGAGCTCTCTAATTCAATTCTTACTAGTAACAATTTAATTGTAGAGCTCTCTAATTGAATTGTTACTAGTAACAATTACAATTGAAGAGCTCTGTAATTTAATTATAGAGCTCTCTAATTGCATTCTTACTAGTAACAATTCAATTAGAGAGCTCTCTAATGCAATTGTTACTAGTAAGAACTACAATTAGAGAGCTCTCTAATTCAATTCTTACTAGTAACAACTCAATTGCAGAGCTCTTTAATTCAATTAGAGAGCTCTCTATTTCAATTGTTACTAGTAAGAATGCAATTGTAGAGCTCTCTAATTGAATTATTACTAGTAAGAATTCCAATTAGAGAGCTCTCTAATCCAATTATTACTAGTAACAATTATAATTAGAGAGTTCTTTAATTCAGTTGTTACTAGTAAGAATGCAATTGCAGAGCTCTCTAATTCAATTACAGAGCTCTCCAATTATACATATCTTTAATTCGTTTTTTTACTAGTAAAATTTCAATTAGAGAGCTCTGTAATTGCATTCTTACTAGTAAGAATTGAATTAGAGAGCTCTCTAATTGTAATTGTTACTAGTAATAATTGGATTAGAGAGCTCTCTAATTGTAATTCTTACTAGTAATAATTGAATTAGAGAGCTCTGCAATTGCATTCTTACTAGTAAGAATTGAATTAGAGAGCTCTCTAATTGTAATTGTTACTAGTAAGAATTGAATTAGAGAGCTCTCTAATTGTAATTGTTACTAGTAAGAATTGGATTAGAGAGCTCTCTAATTGTAATTCTTACTAGTAATAATTGAATTAGAGAGCTCTCTAATTGTAATTCTTACTAGTAACAATTCAATTATAGAGCTCTCTAATTAAAAATGAATGGAAGTCAATGGAGACATATGACTAGTAAAAATTCATTTGTAGAGCTCTCTAATTGCAATTGTTACTAGTAAGAATTGAATTAGAGAGCTCTGTAATTGTAATTCTTACTAGTAATAATTGAATTAGAGAGCTCTCTAATAATAATTGTTACTAGTAAGAATTGAATTAGAGAGCTCTCTAATATGGCAAGCCGTTTTAGCTTAAATTGTACCCAGCCTTACTTGTTGTAATTTCATTTTTACTAGTAAAAATTTAATTAGAGAACTTTACAATTCAATTCGTACTAGTAGCAATTACAATTAGAGAGCTCTCTAATTCAATTCTTACTAGTAACAATTGCGATTAGAGAGCTCTCTAATTCGATTCTTACTAGTAAGAATGTAATTGCAGAGCTCTTTAATTGAATTAAAGAGCTCTGCAATTGCATTCTTACTAGTAACAATTAAATTAGAGAGCTCTCTAAATCAGTTTTTACTAGTAAGAATTACATTAGGAGAGCTCTTTAATGCAATTATTACTAGTAAAAACTGATTTAGAGAGCTCTCTAATTCAGTTCTTACTAGTAAGAATGCAATTGCAGAGCTCTTTAATTCAATTAGAGAGCTCTTTAATGCAATTCTTACTAGTAGGAATTCAATTAGAGAGCTCTACAATTCAATTCTTACTAGTAGCAATTACAATTAGAGAGCTCTCTAATTCAGTTATTACTAGTAACAATTACAATTGCAGAGCTCTCTAATTCAATTCTTACTAGTAACAATTCCAATTAGAGAGCTCTACAAATGAATTCTTACTAGTCATATGTCTCCATTGACTTCCATTCATTTTTAATTACAGAGCTCTTTAATTGAATTGTTACTAGTAAGAATTACAATTAGAGAGCTCTACAATTGAATTGTTACTAGTAAGAATTACCATTAGAGAGCTCTCTAATTCAATTGTTACTAGTAACAATTACAATTAGAGAGCTCTCTAATTCAATTCTTACTAGTAACAATTTAATTGTAGAGCTCTCTAATTGAATTGTTACTAGTAACAATTACAATTGAAGAGCTCTGTAATTTAATTATAGAGCTCTCTAATTGCATTCTTACTAGTAACAATTCAATTAGAGAGCTCTCTAATGCAATTGTTACTAGTAAGAACTACAATTAGAGAGCTCTCTAATTCAATTCTTACTAGTAACAACTCAATTGCAGAGCTCTTTAATTCAATTAGAGAGCTCTCTATTTCAATTGTTACTAGTAAGAATGCAATTGTAGAGCTCTCTAATTGAATTATTACTAGTAAGAATTCCAATTAGAGAGCTCTCTAATCCAATTATTACTAGTAACAATTATAATTAGAGAGTTCTTTAATTCAGTTGTTACTAGTAAGAATGCAATTGCAGAGCTCTCTAATTCAATTACAGAGCTCTCCAATTATACATATCTTTAATTCGTTTTTTTACTAGTAAAATTTCAATTAGAGAGCTCTGTAATTGCATTCTTACTAGTAAGAATTTAATTAGAGAGCTCTCTAATTGTAATTGTTACTAGTAATAATTGGATTAGAGAGCTCTCTAATTGTAATTCTTACTAGTAATAATTGAATTAGAGAGCTCTGCAATTGCATTCTTACTAGTAAGAATTGAATTAGAGAGCTCTCTAATTGTAATTGTTACTAGTAAGAATTGAATTAGAGAGCTCTCTAATTGTAATTGTTACTAGTAAGAATTGGATTAGAGAGCTCTCTAATTGTAATTCTTACTAGTAATAATTGAATTAGAGAGCTCTCTAATTGTAATTCTTACTAGTAACAATTCAATTATAGAGCTCTCTAATTAAAAATGAATGGAAGTCAATGGAGACATATGACTAGTAAAAATTCATTTGTA